TCTCATACTGCCTGTGCTCTTTTCACCCTCTGTCTGAAACCAGAGCCCAGTCTGCTCTGATTGGTTAGCTGGCCGGCTCTGTTGTGATTGATCAACTGCTTAGAGATGTCCCGCCCTTTAACCTATCACGTACAATGTGTTTTGAGCATTGACCAATATGCATGACACATACTAAAACTTAAAGGGGACCTATCATGCAAAATGCACTTTTGTACGTCTTTTATACATGAATATGTGTCCCCGGTGTTCCAGGGAACTCACCAAGTGTCAGAAAACACAACCCTCTCTATTTTCCTCCATACCCAAATCTCTAAAAAAGGGGCTACAACGGATCTGATAAAAACTGATCCAGATTTGAACACTGTCCTGACGTCAGGACAGTGGCGCTACGGCTATTGGGCCAACTCCACCAATCAGGAGGAGACAGCCACGGCCATTGCCGTTCGAAAGCGCTGGAGATGCTGTAGTACATATGCCAGGCCTCTAGATGGTGCTGTTCTCACAGAATCAGCCCTTGCAAAAACAGGGGTAACATTTTGCAAATTGAGCGAAATGAGGCATGGCTAAATGCATGATCTGTTTGGTATTTTGAAAAAAAAAAAGTATAAATATGCCTTATATAGGTATGGTCCTACACTATATTATTATAATATAGCATGATAGGTCCACAAGGACGGACACACACACACACACACACACACACACACACACACACACACACACACACACACACACACACACACACACACACACACACACACACACACACACACACACACACACACACACACACACACACACACACACACACACACACACACACACACACACACACACACACACACACACACACACACACACACACACACAACACACACACACACACACACACACACACACACACACACACACACACAAACACACAGAGATATCTTAGCTGAGAGGGACGAGAAGAGACAGCAGACTCAAGCCTGCTGTTATGAGAGGCTGCTGGAGGATGTGGTTGTTCAGATGTAAGCCAGTGTTAGAGGAGGTAGACAGCCTGGGGCTCACAAGGGGCTACGAGGAGAAAACATGATGCTGTGGCACCTGTTGATGTCCTGAAGCACCTGAAGAAGCTGAAAGAGCTGCTGGCCCCGAGGGAGACGACCCAGAAGAGAACGGAGAAAGAAAAGACAATAGATGCCGCATTTTTCCTTAAACTCGATCTGGACTGAAATGTTGAACATGACTCAACACTTTACATTCCTCTGTTTTGACAAATGTGCCTTTTCCTTCACCTTTATGTAGAGGCTTTTCATCTGCTGTGAGTGCGGCGGAGCAAAGTGAGAAAAGAAACAAGGAGGTGATTTCTAAACGGCGGCGTCGGGAAAATAATTACAGAAGTGTTCCTTTTGTCAGCACACATCCAAGGACGGAAAGGAAAACGTCATACTTTATCAGTTTACAAATGCTTCTATAACACCATCCGACCCACACAGATTAAAACCTTGTACTTAGTGAGACTAATTCATGCTTTATATGATGTTTCAGTATCCATTATAATCAGGATGAGGACTGCAGAGATGCAAGTTCACAAATTTGATATATAAAAAATCTGTTAGAACGATGTTATGCTTTCCGAGTTTTAAACATCTTCCAACAGAAAGCAGGCCCTGCAGTGAGGAAATATTGTGGAGCACACACATAAAGGAACAATACCCGCAGCACGTCGCCCCATAAACGCACCCACCGAGTGCAGCTGTAACCTGAAAGCACCGCTGCCCTAAAAAAATGACAAGCAACATGCGTGCCAGAGCTGATAGCAACAGCCCACATGATTGAAGTCATGAGCGAGAATAAGACTGCATGAATATAAATATGAGACAGCCACGGGGAACAAAAGGAGGGGGGGGGGGGGGGTACTGAGTAATCTAAAAGCACTGAGCTATTTCTAACATCCACAAGCAATCATGAGTTTGCAAAGACAACGTGTGAGGCAACGAAACACTAAACCAAAGTCTGCACACACACATTTATCTATCTTCGTAGCATGGGGATAGGAGCTTGGTTCTAAAGTTTGCTATATTAACTTTAGTGTAAAATTAGATACATTATTGGTTTCACTTGGTGGTCTCAGCGTTTGATGGAAACATGTCTAATCATGCAAAAACTCTGAGTTATAAGACAATGTCAATTCATGATTTTTTTAGATCTTTAAAATGAAGACTTTTCCTAATGTGACGGTCAAATATGCCCTCTCCTGTTAAGTCTACAGCAGAAAATGTAAACAAACATGTCATTTTAAATGTTTACACCTTAGCCTGATTCAGTAAAATAACTCAGTGAAGTCTTAAAATCAGGTCCTTAAACTCCTTTTAAAAAACGAATGAATTAACAGTAAAAGGCCAGTTTTAAGCATTGCAAATTCATTATGTCTCTCTGCCTCAATGCCATCCTCACCAGCAGTGTTCCTTTACGACTGCCACTGCCACTTTTCTTTTGAAAACCCCCCTGCTGTGCACAAAGCCTGAGAGCAACACTGCAGTCTCTTTACTCCCCACCAAACAGCCATTAACTCCATCACCCTCCTCCAAAACCCAAAACACACAGGTGCACTTTGCAACCTGCTTTCCAGTGGACTACTTCCCCAAAAGATGACAACAACGTGTGCCAGAACAGCTCCCGTTTCCACTCCATCACCCAGAATCAGAAGGTGAAATGATTACGCTGCTTGTAGTCGTTCGTCATCTTGTGACCGTGAGGCGGCTCAGCCATTCCTCACTGTTTAGAAAGGAGCAGATGTATTATATCGTGTTGAAATTAAATACACTAAGATTCAAATGTAAACCCAGATTCACACTTCAGTACTACACACATTTATTTTTTGATAGTGTGACTCCAGCATAGAAATTCGAATGAATTCAGTTCAACTCGGGGCTCTGGGGGTACTAATATCATCATCTCCTCGCTGCTTTTTCCTCATTTTTTGCAGCTCAAATCTCCAACCAGCATCTCAAACTGCACTTAGGCTAATTCCCCAGAGAGAAACCCTGCTTCACTCCACCCCACATCTGCCCCCTTTCAAGTTTGCTTTCTCTCTGTCATCATTGCTAAAATAAATCAAAGCTACAATAATTCAGAGTGTTAAGAGTGTGACTTCTACACAGAATGGAGAGCTTTGAGCAGCTTTAAAAACAGAACAGGAATACAAAATTGGGATTTTTAGTCGCATACAAGCCGGAAAATCAGGTTGCTGAATATGACCGGATATAACTCGATATGAATTAGGGGTTTTGCTCTCGACAGTAATGAAATGATGTTAGCAAGAGATTTACGAGATCCAAGACGCTAATTGTTCCCAGGGAAGATGAAAGGGGGAAGAGGTTTATGCAGAAGTGTTGATATGACTTCTGAAAATCGGCATTAACAGCAAAAAACTGCGGCGAGAATCAGTAGGAATTAGAAAATGTCCAATCTTCTAACAGGCTTGGAGGAGGATGAAAGTGAATGAGGTTTTCTGTCAACAAAGACTTGGCTGCAGCCCGACCTCTGGGCACCTCGAGTCGCTGCGCTGCATTTAAGTTTGGTGACTTTTTTTTTTAAAGTGTTGGTCCACTAGCCGGAGCCGTGTCTATTATCAGAACGATCCCAGTTTGAGGACAAGACACTAACAATGTCAGCCTCACTGGAGTAGCATTCGGTGCTAAAAGTAAATGTGTTTTTTTTCCAGAGCAAATATAAGACCTTTAAGTTGATAAATGATGACCAACCAAACAAAAAACGTAGCATCTTTCTGAGCAGCGGACTGTAAAAACAGTAATAAAACAAAAAACAAGGACGGTCAGGAGAGATCTACAGCGGACTGAAAACACTCACACACTGCAGGAGAACAGACAATAAACCGTCTTTTCTTTATGATATTGTTTTAGAGAGTGAGAGCATATTGCACTGCAGATCATCCCAAACTGTCAAAACATTCGCTATAAATATAAACTCTGTGCTACTTCACTGCACAGTTTACACCAGTGTTTCTTCTACCAAACGTACACTCACACGACACATATAAACATTTTAGCCAAAGGTGACACCACACATTTCTGATACATATTTAAAATCAGTGATGGCTGTTTTGTTAGGAACCAAAATAAGTATTAAGTTAAATAATATTGGACTTTTAATCAGAATAAAACAAGTTGTTTTAGGAATTGTAGCTATGCAGATTTGTAGAAACATAGACCTTTAAAAAATGTAAACATACTTATTTCGTGTTGTTAAGAAATGGAACCGTCGTGTCACTAATCTTAGCTACACCATTTCTTTCATTTTGATGTTTACATTATGTATTATTGTTCATGTTTCTGTGTTGAAATATTGTTTAAAATGTACGGTTAAATACGTGTAAGTCTGGTTCCCTAGGCTTTGGTCTTAAGGCATCACACAGTAAAGCAGCACACACTTTATGCCGAGTTCACACTCCACGTCAGATCTATGTACTTCTCACACTACACAACTTGCTGCCTTGTAATCCAGAGTCTTGAAGTTGTCGTGGTTTTCACACTACATCATTGACCGGAAACACACCGGGTCACACACACTACAAGATCTTTCACCAGGAGGAATCCCTGATGAGTATTTCTGTTCTCCAAACTACATGAAAGAAGTGACAGGGGAAATGATGTAACACCATGTACAAGGTATTTTATTTCCTCGAGGAATCCGTAGAACTTTCCTTGTAGTTTCCACACATCTTTACTATTTATAAGATGTATCCTTTGGGTGGAAGAACAACATTTATTCCTATTGTTGCAGTGGACCAATCTTTACCTCCGGAGATATTTAAACAGTTAGATATCTGGGATGCTTCTGCAATGCATCTAAAGCAGTTCATTCAAAGAGCTCAAGTGCCAATTTTCCTTTCCCAACATTGAGAGTTTAAAATCAGGTGTTATCTGTGCAGTGTGAACCAGACATTAGGAACCACCAGTTAATATAATACACGTATTTTAAAAGACACTCACCGGCCAGCACTCCTGCCATGTATAGAAGACTTATCCGTAATATACCATGGACCATCTCCAAAGGAACGCCAATCATCAGCTGCAGTAAAGCATTGAACCCCAGCTGCTCCAAACTGAGGGGAAAACAAAGAAATAGGATAAATAAAGACATTTCATAATAAAGCTTTATTTATATAGCACTTTTCATACATCATTCAAACACATTAGTTAAAAATAAGAAGAAATTCCCCTCAGATTATTTGTCAAGAGCTTTACAGACCTGTACATGCAGCAACATTTTACATTTTAACAGGTTAATAGACACAAGGAGGTAAAAGGTATGATAATAAAAATAAAATAAATAACGATTTCTCTCCGACAGATAAGACACAAGACAACTGAGTCAATGCAACAATATAAAACGCCATTAAACAAAGTGACAGAAATAAAAATAAAAGATAATAGTAATACAAATGCCATAATTCTAATAAAGGTTAAACGATTAAAATGTTAAAAAACCAACGTAAAAATATATATTGCTATTGAAACATGTTGGATTAAATCCTTAAAGACCTACACAATAAATAAGACAATATAAAAGTAGGTAAATAATAAAGACTAAAAGAACATTTAAAGTGGGGGGTTGCTAATAAAAAGCTAATCTAAAAAGATGTGTCTTTAGCTGGTGTTTAAAAATGTCGGCCTCTCCTCTCATTTGTTGCTAGTACAGCTGTTGACAGGAGATAAGGCGAGGCTCGTACCCAACGTGCATGAACATGTAGCTGAAGAAGCGCCACACTTGAGCTCGGTGTCCGGGGTGGTAGACCAGAGGACTCTTCATGAAGTCGGGCTGGTAGGTCTGCAGAACCCACTTGTTCAGCATGATGCCGTAGCACATGAACACGATGATCTGCAGAAAACAGGAATGACACCAAACTGTCACTTCTTGCTGACATACCAATTACACGCTCCCTCTGCAGACTGCCGCCACAAACATGCAAAATAAAACCCATTGTGCTTCATGAAAGATTCATGACGTTTTTTCTGTATTCCTCGGCTGATGCTTATTAGACTTGAGCAGACAATTACTGCCCACGGAATGAAAAATATGGCACATCTGGTTCAATTCCATTAAGTTCTTTTCATAGAATAATGATTCATTGTCTCTGTGAATTAAAATGAATGTGAACCGTTATTATCACATTGTCATTGTCATTACAGACCATTCAGAGGCACTGTAAGAGCACTTGGCTTTCTTTCCTCTGAATTAGGATGATTTCAGGGGGAATGAGGACGTTTTGTGCAGAAGGTTATTTTAGCGACGTAATCCTCGACCATTTAACAGAGGTCCCGTGAGGGCTTCTGTGTTGGAGGTTGTCTCCAAATGAATATAATAGGTCATTTATTGCCACTGTGGTGGGCAGGGTGCTTACTGACCTGGTTTTTTAAAGTTTCTAAATTAGTGACTGAAAAATTCCCCCCATGCAAGCAGAGAGAGGGTTTCAGCTTGGAGGAAGGGCATTAAATGCACCCACTAAGCCTCTGACTCCCAAATGTGTTACCAGCTCATATTGAGCTAGCAGTAAAAGCGTGTGATCAAAGGCAGGAAATCTCCTCAATGGGTCTGAAGCGAACGACTAAGCCAAGAGAACAGACTAAATCCAGGGTTGTGGGTTAGTAGCAAGCACATGCTCAAGTAAAATGTTGCAGCACATGTTTGAGGAATATTTGAATCGGTAGAACAGTTCAGTTTATTGTCTTATTTTTGTATTTATTAGTCAATTTATTGAACATGTTGAAAACTCAAAAAACGTTCCAATAAATTCTCAAATAGTTTCCGTCATGTTCAAAAGGGGCAAGAAGAAGCTTAAAAACGTTTCTGGTCCCCCTCTAGCGTACATTGTTCACGAAAATAAAAGTTTAGGTCATCGTCATCAGCATCCGTGATATTTGATTCATTGTTTTAAACAAATCATTTCTTTGTACAAAACCAAATAACTTTTACAACGACAAGAAATAGCAAGCCTCACTTCACAGGTCCTGCTCAGAACTGTTCAGGATTTGGTTTCTAAATAATAATTTTAGTTTAGATAAAGTTGCACAGTATTTCAGCTCATCATTACAGTTATTCCACAGATGAACACCTTTTGTTGTGATGCAATGACATTTGGAATTTGTTCGTATGGGTAGTTTTTTGCAAAATGCAGTTTCCCTCGACATTATGAGGTAATTGTTGATTTACGGCTTTGAACATAATTTGGATAGTTTTATAGTCAACCAGGTCTTGTGAGTTCAGTGTTTTTAGTTTGATAAATAATCGATGTGTTGGTTCTCTGTAGGTAGTTTAATGTCTAATTCGTATGGCTCTTTTTGCAGGATGAAGATTTACTTACAATCTAAGTCCTGAATCTCACCTGTACGATGGTGACGATGGCGATGAAGACCGGCGGGGGACACAGGCGGTTCTGGTGGAAGTACCAGCGCCGGTCCGTCTCGCAGGGCAGGATCTCGTAGGCCACATAGCGGACGAAGCGCTTGTACAGACCCAGCCCCGTCTCGTCCAGCAGGATCTCCCTCTGCAGCGTGCGGCGGCCATTAGCTATGGCCCGTCGGAAACTGCTGGAGCGCTTACTGCTCATCTGATGGAAAGATGAAGAAACATGCATTTATTACTCTCAGGAGTTCAGAGCAATATCTGGTGAGCAACTGCTTGAAGTTTTAAGGAACGCAGAGGAATAATTAACTTGTGTTCCATATTAGACCGATGGAAACACAACACATTTTCATTGTAATTACAGAAATAGTTCCACATTTAAGGAAATGCGCTTAGTTGCTGAGAGTTAAATGAGAAATTTGATGTCACTTTCATGTCTGTACGCTAAATATAAAGCTATCTCTTAATTTAAATTAACATCAAAAGTAAAAACCAGGGGTAATCAGCTAACCAGGCTCGGTCCAAAAGGTAATAAATCTGCCTAAAATCATCCCTACACTACACTTTAGCTAACTAACATAAATACCGTTTTACTTCCTGATTCCTTAACACCACCATGAGGTTGTGATCAAGGTTGGCAGGCAGTTACTTATAGGCTAAGAAATACTTGCATAATTGGCAGATCCTCTGTTACACCACAAATGCTTGCAATTAAACTTCAATTTCCGTACAGATTAAACAAATGAGATCTAATGTGTTAATTAGTGAGTTTAAGATGTGCTGGTACAGTAGGGGGATTGTGTTACCTTTGCACACAGCCATGCTGTTCTCCTGTCTTTATGGAAAGCTAAGCTAAACTAAATGCACACAGAAAGATACAAGGGTTGTACAAATCTTCTCATCCATCTTTTAGAAAGAGAGCAAAAATGCAGCGTATTCCCAAAACATCTTCAAAAATAGACAACATTTCTTTTTTTAGATGACTGACTTGTTTTTTGTGACTTAGAAATCCAAACACAGCTGAGTCCCTGTGTTTGTTTTGGTGCTACTTGAAGACTCAATTTATTTTTATTCAATAAACTTCTCTTGAGTTGTTATATGAGCATTACTGTCAGCAGCTGGAGGACAGACACCTCGCCAAGATGAACAGATCTCATCATTGCCTCATTTTACCAATCAAATATAAAACTTTCCTCGTGCTTAGTGGATCAAAGGAGGATATCTTGTTTTTTATAGAAACTGAGGAAAGCTCATCCGTGTGACTAATCATCCGAGATGGCGAGCCAACGTTACATTTCTTGTAGGAAAATAAGACGGGTAATGTAAGTTCTGTTTTTATAACCAAAAGGTTAGGGGAACGAAAGTGTAGGCCTACTTATATTAATGGTAATGGTTGTACTTCTTGCACATCGCTGCATTCAATGGATGAATTCATTTGACCTTAATGTTTCTGGTATCCATTTATTTCGCTTTTTTGTGCATATATTCACTAATGAAAATCACTTATTCAGAACAGAAAGAAGAAGATATAGCTGAGAACTGTTTTTCAGACAAAGTGATTAATCCACATCGTAAAATTGCTCAATTATTATAATTTAACACAGAGCTAAAAGATACGCTAGTTTTGAAAGCATTATACTGTACTGTATATATATCAGCATTAAAACTAATTACAGTAAAAATCTTCCACTGCGGGTTTCACAATAATTAATACAGACGGTAGTCGATAAAAACGTTGTACTTAATAAATCTATCAAATTAGTGCTAGAAGTAAAATGTCTGATTCCTCATATTTCCCAGTAGCTATTAGAATATTAAAATCAAAGCCATGTTACATGTATAAACAAGTGGTGAACACTTTCTCCACATGAGAGGTGACATAACTGCAGCTGAATATTCAGGGCCGATAGAAAAACATAACATATAAGTGGTTTTAGATTTAGTGAGACTTCAAGCTGAGTTGATTGTAGCGCAGACGTCATACAGATGGACTGTTTAAGTAATTTTTACCCTTGAAAAGCAACATTTTGGTTAAGAGGAACGGAATAGAGAAAGTTTGTGTTTGTGGCGTGTGTGTGTGTGTGTGTGTGTGTGTGTGCGTGCGTGCGTGCGTGTGTGTGTGCGTGTGTGTGTGTGTGTGTGTGTGTATATTCCTGTTATCACTGACTCCAGGTCTGCTTGGTGAGCAGCAGCTCTGCAGCCTGCAGGCCAGTGGGGCCCTCTCCACTCCTGATACTCTTTAATAGAGTTATAGGATGAAAACTACCCTAAAGCAACTATTTTGACAGTCGGTGCAGAGAACTGCCGGGATAACAACACAGAGGGCACTTTCCGCATGAGTTACTAGTATAAATACTGTCCGACCATACACCCACAGCAGGGATTCTTTGGAGTTAATGTCTGCATTCCCTAATACAAGACAAGCGTGCATGCTTCACTGGTAAGATTTACTTAAAGGGGCCCTGTTATGCTTTTGGGGGTTTTTCATTTTGCCTGTAGTCTGATTGGTCTACAAAGGCTAAAATCCCGAAGTTCCCTCAAGAGAGAGTTTGTCACAGTAGAGGCACAAAATATAAATATGAACCTGACAATGAGCATAATATGTCCCCTTTAAGAGCTGAAATGCAATGCTTGACGCCTGAAGTCTCTGTGTAGCTAAAGCATTTAAGCTCCTCTGTGGATAAGCTGCTAACTATGCAATTATCTCTAAATCACAAATGAGTTATTATGTGAAGTGACAAGGGCTCTGGGATACGAAGAAAATCATAAATCACAATATATAATCAGTAGATGGTGTTAATGTGACGATATTTGATGTTTGACCTGCGATGCTTTTACAAAAACTATTAGTAGAATGAGAATTTTGATAAATAATCAGTAGTAATGTGGATTTATGACTAAGCAGGTAAAAGCAAATAACAGAACAGCTAGAAAAGTACATAATTTTATTGTAATGCATCCTTTAAGACGAGAAGAAATAAACATCTAGGACACCACAATATCCCAAATCTAAATATATGTAAAGTCTTATTACGATATTAATATTATAATTATTTATTGCTCAAGCCCAAGGAGAGACATTTTATGAAGATAAGTTTGCAGAAAAAAGCAGTGAAGCAGGATACATATGGTCAACAGATGCAGTTTTTATCCGAATGAATCTTCAACAGCAGACCTTTTGTTTAGGTTTCTGATAATAACAACCTCAGAGAATATAGCAGCTTCATATGAAATGTAATAAAACCTCCAGAGGGGACCTGCAGGAAGTACAAGCGGCCATTAAAGTTGACTTCTCTGGACTCATTAGTCGGGTGCTGCTGCTTGTAGACTCATTATATGAAGACACAGCAGGGGGCATATTGAAATGCATTACAGGTCAATATCTATAAAGGCTAATGAGCTAAATGTACTGGTGAAAAAAGACAAAATAATCACGCAAATAACGAAGAAGTAAGAAACAGATTGCAACACAATTAGAGCTGATGTTTTATTCCCCCCCCCCCCCTTCAAGAAATCGCTTAGGAAAAACAGGAGAACAAAAGAGAGCTAATCCCTTTTGGAAACAGGAAGTGGTAACTGCCCTAACTGTGTGGGTAATAATGCTGGTGGTTGTTCAGTGAGAGTGTGAGGGCCTGTTGCTTCGTGATAACCAGAACGATGTGGAGCTGGGCTGCTGGCTCTCCCACAGATGGAGGGATGCATATTTAGTATGGAAATCAGGCCTGGAAAATGCAATTATACTATACTTGAGGCAGGGAGTGAAAGGAGAAGAAGAGGAGCAGAGGGACGTTAGAAGGCGGAGAGGGGCGAATTAAGACGGAGAGATTCCTGCATGTGTGAGCTCCATTCTCTGATTCTGCATGTCACCGGAGACACTGCCTCTCTCATTTCTAAATATCTTCATATGGTTGAATCCACAGTGAGAAAGAGGAAGCGAAGGAAGTAAATATAATTGTGTTTCCTTCCTCTGTTGGCTTTCATCATAGAGTCTGTGTTTCTGAGTCTTATTTCATCTGCTTTTGGCTTCGGTAACAGCACCTGCTTCCTTCTCCACCTCGCGCTGCATCCTCTCCCTTTCATAGCACTTCTGTGAAAACATGTTCCCAGGAGACACGGCCAAGCATAGCTTTCACTCTGACATGCAAGACGGGCGCCTCTAAAGTGAGCATTAGCCGCCTTTTGAAGCGACGACAGGAGAGAGACGGGCGAACAGACAATAAGGCACACGAGCAGTGGAAACATGAGATGAGTGACGGAGAGCAAGGTGCATGGGGGGAAAAGAAATCCACATGTCACCACAAAAAAAAGGGAGTAAAACCTCTGACTTGTGCTTCGGTAACGGTGGAAGTTTCCTGACAAGCCAACATCTGCCAGGGAATAATTGATGCTGAGGCTAAGAGCATGGGAATAAAGATAGTGTTCCCGTTTAGGGGCGGCTGAATGGGCCAAACTGACAGAACTGTGTGTGTGTGTGTGTGTGTGTGTGTGTGTGTCAAACAGCAAGAGTCCATCCTCCTCTTGGTGTCCTGCCTACAGTAAATGCTGCTCTCAGCTCCAGTCAATTGTCCTTGATGGATTAATTAGCCTCACCACATGGTCAATACCTACAGCTCAATACTCATTAGTAATAATAATATATTTAAAAAAAAGAAAACCTGCTTTAAAGGCCATTCCTGCGTCTGCATGGAAGACACAAATAAAATCCATAAATGATTCTGATATTGCTCAGTTTATGGAGGTGACCATCTTTCACTCACAGGCCTTGACACACATGATAAATAATGTACCGTTATTCACCGAGCTAAGTGATTCACCGACAGCTGACTAACAGTGTCACTACCGCCGTTTACTATCTCATTTCTGAGTCATTGAGATGACCAAACCCTCCTCTACCTTCCTCTCTCTCTGACACATACACACTTCCTCAGCAGAATCTAAATCACTGTGCATCGCCGATTCTACCCTGACCCAGATACTCACGTTCTTTCTTGCCCAAATCCTTTTAAAATAAAACCCAACCTTTTTTTTCCCCTCAGCAGTTTGCGGCCACAGTCTTTCTTCATGGTTTAATCATTGTGGTGCTAAAACTCTAGCGGTAAAAAAAGAGACACAAACCTTTAGTCCAGGACACTTTAGCAAAGTGCATCATTTTTTATCAGGCAATCCATCTAAAACAGAAAGCCTTGACAGGAGTTTGGTGTGGGATGTGTAGGTACGGTAGCATCTGTTTCCCTGGAGACTGATGCACTCAGGGCACTTAATGTGACTTTAAATGACTTGAAAACACTGTATATCAACGACAGAGTGTTTCTTGCCTGGGACTGTAAGTGAACTTCTGCTTTCTGGAAGTGCTCTCCGTCTATAAATACTGCTTGACATGTGACAAGCCTCATTCAGTAGCAAGCGGAACATTTTAGAACATATTATCCAACTTAATCTCCTGAAGGAACAGGAAATGGAAGAGCAGCATTTAGGCAGAAAGGAAAAAATGAAGCACAAAGCAACAGTCTTCAAATCCTCCAACCTGAACAAAGAGAATCCCCCGCCATAATCTCTAAAATACACCCTCTACCCGTGTAATTAACCATGGCAGCCATTTTGGATCAGAGTCGAACATTAGCCAAATTACCACCCGAAGGAAAACAAAGACACACTTCTTCAGTTACACAGCTGCTACATGATCGTAGGAATCGATACTTGCAGGAATATATCTTCAGATTACCTTAACGCCACTAACAGATGCTCGTATATCAAAGCCCTCCCCCCTTCAATCCCACCATGTGTGAACTTTGTCACCTTAGGTGTCTCTCAGCATCCTGCATCAGAGAAATCGGAGTGTAGTTGTGTATAAACGTGTCACTGCCTGAGTTTCTGTGTTGCTATGTGGGATGTTGTGCAGGATTAGTAGTCAGATACAAACTCTTTGTAAGTGTGTGTGTGTGTGTGTGTACAGTTTCCCAAGAGAGGTTTTAGCAAAGCTTTACTTATTCACCCCTCTGGCAGAACTGATGGAGTTCTCTGGCTGAGATTGCCCTGCATGAAAGAAAGACACACACACACACACACACACACACACACACACACACACACACACACACACACACACACACACACACACACACACACACACACACACACACACACACACACACACACACACACACACACACACACACACACACACACACACACACACACACACACACACACACACACACACACACACACACACCTAACGGTGCGATACAAACACATTAACACCCACCGAGGTCAGCGTGGATTCAAGCTGAATGTAGAACAACAAATCAGAAGAAAATGTTGAATACACACGTTAAGAAACACAAAAGAGAGCTTGTTGGCTGAAACACCAACAAGGCATTGACTGAGCACACACACACATTCTTGCCAAGTCCATTTTAGAAAAAAATTACACTAACTTTCATTTTTTTTCTGTTGTTCTGACATGGTTAAGAGGCGTTACACATTTGTTTTTGCTATTGATGCTTACAGGTTGTAATTGTTGGTCTTCATTTCTTGCTGCACTTAACAATGTACATCAGATACTAATTAATGAGTTATTCCAAGGTTTGAAGTATCTTTTAATTGCATCAAAAAGGCATAGACTGAGCATGCACACGCATTCTTGCCGTGTCCATTTTAAACGGCAGAGGGGAGCTCCTATTTCCATCGAGGCCGGACCACAAATCAATACAGACGCCGCACTTCAGGCACTGACTGTGATATAATGGCAGCACTGAACTTTCAAAATCAAAACACGCCTGTCATCTGTCACACACTGCGGAGGGCTTCTCATAAATCTGAATGAGATACTGAATTGTGAATGCAGATGGAGAGGGAAGAAGACACGGACAAAAGCAGCCAACGTGGGCTTGAGAGGTACAAATAATAAAAGTAGGAGAGAAAAAAGGCCGGGGATATTCGTTGATGACCTGGTTGAAAATATCATGCTACATGTGCCGCTTTCCCAGCTGCAGCCTGGGGCTCATGCTAGACAACCCGCTGAGTTCACGCACCACATGCTGCGAGACGGGAGGGCCAGAGTCACATCAACATTTGAATATCCTCTAAATTAGTCAGCAAATCCATACTGGCAGCGCTCATGTGTTAGAATAAGAGCCTTGGAGAGAGGAGAAGTGAGACAGACAGAGCGGAGGTGTGCAGCTGCTTTAATTATTAATCAAATGATTGAAAGCGTTTGAATATATGCCAATAGGAAGCATGTGGGTATGTGGGTTCACGTGTGTGTATCAGACGAATCTTTAAAATCAGACCTGGGGGTCGATAGCTGTGTGAGTCTGGGCGTTCTCAAATTACCTCAGATTACTTCCTGCTACTACCAATGCTGGGCTAATCGAAGGCAATTTGCATTTGGCTGATGGGCAATTTTAAAAGTGTCTCCCTGATGCTTTTGGAGGCGAGGCGGTTTTTTTCTTCCACCTAACATATGCTCACGACTGTAGAATGAGAGAGGGAAATGGGATGAGATGGTTCAAAAAGGCAGGTTAGAAAAAAAGAGTAGGGTGGGTTATTACATTTGCGTGAGGAAGGGAGGGATGAAGATGAGCAGGCACTGAAATGAGATGGAGAAGAAAAAATGCTTCAAGAATGGTGGAGGAAGATAGCTGTACTGACGAAGCAAACCAAAACAAATTCCTTTCTAGTGGCACAGACTTCAGAAACATGACCTGCTACGAGTGGCCTCATGTTATTTCAAACCACGAGTAGCACAACACGAGAGATGAAAAAGGAAAAGACCAATAGAAAAAAACTGAAAGCAAAGGAGGTGGAATGATCTGAAGGAAGTGCAAATATGCAGGAATTGAATTGATCTAACCTTGATGCTTACACTTAGCTTACTTACACGAACTGTGCCACAAGCAATGTGCATGTAGAGAATCAGCATATACAGCTCTATGAGAGTTTCTATTTAAGAATTGGTAACACATAAAGGAGAAGGATGAATGAAGACCTACAAGTACACAGGCTGTTTTATCCTCAGAATATTAAAAAAACTACATGTTACAATATGTAAATCACATCAAGAAAATGTATTGCTTTAATACTGTGGTCCTTCCAGCTCGGTGTTTTCTAGTACTTGCTGTGCACGGCTTGTGAGGTTAAGTGCCTGGATTTACCGACACATTAACTGGACAGATTGATCCCTCTTTTGCAGGACAGCAACCTGAGTCAATTTTCGCCACTGCAGAGCTTGCCGGCTCTGCCTGAATCAATTCTGTAACCTTTCGGAAAGTGGGGAAATATGGGTGTGTGCTGCGGGACATGAAATGCCTCCAGCGACTCCCCCTGCATCGCTATCTGTCTCCAGATCTGTGTGAGGTCTCCACTCACCAGCTCGATGAGCTCCTGGTAGCACACCTGCCCCTCCTCATTGCTCTGGACCAGCGCTAACAGCATGTCCAGTTTGGACGGGTCCAGCTGCAGCTCATGGTGCTCCACCAAGCTGGTGAAGTTCTCCACTGCGATGAAACCGGTGTTGTCTGGGTCCAGCTGGAAAAAACAAAGAGAGCCCACTCTTAGAACATTGGGATATGATACTATGTAAAAATGCAGTACTTTGCAGTCAGGTGTTAAGACAAAAAACAAGGAATCAGACATTTAACATAACATTACAATCCATGCAGAGAATATTGTCGTGATGCTTAAAGGCGCCTTGTAAACATGTCGTAGTAGAAGCACAAAATACAAATCCGAAATTGAAAATGAGCATAACTTTAACAATTGATCTGGGATTTAACTCATTATTTATTTTTATCGTATTGACTGGTGCACAAAAGAGAGTTTCAGTCATACCTTATTAAATGGTAGGACCCTGTATCTCCTATTCAATGGCAACTATTCATATAAAACGACATTTCTAATAACACATGTACTGAAGTTGTTATTCCTGTTATGCTTCATGGTTCTTTAATGATACGCAGCACTGCAGTGATAAAGTGTGAGATTGCCCTGAGGGAGAATAGACACACACAGAAACACAACTATACACATAAAGACAAATGAAAGGGCTGAAGGCATAAACTCCGGCAGTGACACCAATATTAATGAAGCTGTGTTGCCTCTATGAAGAGAGAATTAGACCTGCCTAAAGAAAAAGCCCAATTCAACCTCATTAAAGGAGCAGAAGGTTGTTGACGTTGGGAGCAGCGAGCGAAGACAGGCGGGCATGTCATTCTAATACGCAGTGATCTGCATTTTCCCTGAAGACAAAAAAAAACCCTCAGCAGATTTAAATGAGGTTGACTTTTCAGACTTTGTTTCTCTGGATGCTTCATTTGACAGTGTGAGTCCGACCTTGGTCACATTTGCAGCTAGTTTATTTTTTTTAATCACCACTCTCAGAGACCCACAGCCTCATGGGTTATTACTGCTGATGTCTCTACGCCAGTGCTGCTCCTCGTAATTGATTTAAGCGGCAGAGTGTCGTAAAAATGGCTGAGTGCAGTTGTCGAAAATAGCCCCAGTTCAAAAATGGCTTGTAAAGTATAGGGTGTCTATCTTGGTTATTGCAAAGTGTTTTTTTTTGGGGGGTGCGGCAGCTTCAACTACTTACTACTTGATTTTCTTCCCTCACCTCCTCTCAAATACACCCAATCGCTCTGCAATGGAGCGTTAATTCCTCATGCCAGCTCTCCTTAGTACATCTGATTGTGTTTGTGAAAATGCGCCCGAGGACAAACTGGAGCAGTACAAAGAGACCACATGGGAAGGGCCCTTGCTGCTTCTGATTTTACTGTCTCCTGAATGCTAACACAGCCTCATTAGGTTTCAGATAGTAAACCAACAGCCTCTTGTTGCCCCTGGGAGGCGGGAGTTTTCAGATGTTGCGTCAGTGTGGAGTCAGACGGGCTGGATCATCGTTGCCCATGTCATGAGTCCACGAGAAGAATCCTGTCTGGCCTGCTCTGACATGGTAAGACAAAGGCGTTTCATCGGCTGCATGAGGAGAGCGGCATTAAGCTACGCTGCGCCGTGTCAGAGACTACTGCAGGAGGCTCAGAGTTAAGGCTCGGCTGCTCAGCTAAGGAGCCGGGGATCAATCTGGAAATCCATTGGTGCAAATGTGTGTGTGTATTTCCTTCTGAACATGTTCACTGTGTGAGCTCTGCTTCCCTCTACACGGTTTCCAGTTCTTAAAGCCATTAAGTAGAATAAAAGCAACCCTTTCAATTCTTTTAGCTTCCTGAAAATGTATGCTTTGTATTTATCTGGGCAAAGTAGGGGCAGGAAGTAGCTAGTGTTATGATGCCTGACTCAAATAAGTGTTTTCCCCACTTCAGTTTATGTAGTAAAGAAATGTTGTTGGTTATGATACTTTAGGAATATTTTATGTACACCAATGTGACTCAGTAGCATTTGTTAACCAAGATTCTGTACTGACAAAACCATTGTTGTTTCTCGAGGATTTACTGATCTCCACGTAATTTACATTGTTTTATTCCACACAATTCTTGAAAACCTCCATCTTCGTCATTGTCTCTCACCCATTTCCGTATAATCTCAACCATCGGCTCCTAAGCCAGCCGTGTCAAGGCCGTCTGCAACGCACGAATAATGACATTTGTTGGGAACAAATGAACCAAGATGGGAAAGAAAATGGCCTCAGGTTTATTTTTAGATAATCCCCTTAACTGTGTGTTCCATGGACGTTTGTTAAAACATGGCCACGTTCTCCCCTTAAGGCTGGCTGAGCAAAATGGTGGAGATATAGCCAGCATTTGTGATGAGATGGAAGGAAAGCACAACAAAAAGACAACAGAGAGGGTAGAGGTGGAAAGGAGAGGAGAGGAGCGTGGGTGGTTGGGCGGTTGATGAAATGAAAGAAATGAACAATTATAAGTTAAAGAAACAGGGAGGGTTTGAAAAGATTGAGGAGAAGAACAGAGGCAGCCAGAAATGAAACAAGGACGAAGGGAGAATACAAACGCCTCGCATAAGTCTGATATTCTCCTGCCTAACCCAGCAGTCTGGCTATTCTTCTCTTGCCTATAAGAGGGCTGTGACACACTCCGGTGCTCTGCATTCACTCGCCACAGATAGATCAGATTGTAATGTGCTCCTGGCTCAGCGCGGGATGACAGGGGGAACAGAGAGCCACGCTAGGGACGTCTGATCACTGTCAGCCTCCATATGTCAGCACATCACTACACATACAGCAGCAGCACAGACCCAGACACTGTATATGGCGTGCACATTTACGCAAAAGCAAGTGTTGACGCTGAGCTGTCACACTGCACGGAAAATATTCCCTTTCACATGTCTGACCTTATTCAGGGAGAACGTTACACACCGTCTGCAGAGGATACAAGGAGGTGGAGGATTGGTTCTTGTAGCCAATTAGGGTCATCAATTAGCGAGATGAGGTACACTGAGGTGAATGAGTGTTGGCAAGAGGAGGTTTTGTGTGTGTGTGTGTGCAGGCTGGTGACGTGCCTGAACTAGGGGGTGAGACAGAGAGAAGAAAGGGTTGGAAAAGGAGGGAATTTGCGCCGAGAAGGAAGCAGTTATTGAAGCGATCCAACACTGGTGCGGGCGACACTTTGACAAGCTGCATGCGTTGCCTTGGTTACCAGCCGCCTGTGTGTCCTCCCTTTCTTGCATTCCCCCTCCTTTTCTCCCCCCCCGACATATTGGTGTTCAAGAGGCAAATGAAAGACACGAAAGAGGGGAGAGAGACGGAGACGGAGGGTACGGAGCGGAAAGGAAAAATAACATACAGATGGATAGGAAGAGACCAATGAGAGAAAAATGGGGTAGTAAGAGGGGGAAGGAAGGGGTTTACATGTGAAGGGAGGCGGGGCGGGAGATTATGGATGGAGGGTGGAGGTGTTAAGACACCAAACTTGGCTGGCTCAAGAGCAAGTGGGAGGAGATGGACAAGACATGGGAGGAAAATGTATGCACCAGCACGGGGAGGGGGAGGAAGAGAAGTGAGATGCTGACTGCAGGTAAATGATCTCTGAATTAACCCCCAGGACCTCTATTACCTCCACCGCTGAGACTTTAACTGACCCAAGCACATTACTGACTTATCAGTTTCCTCCAGGGGGGCTCAAGAGGAAACCCTCCAGCCCGGGAACAAACCACAAAACACAGAAATGATAGACTTACTTGCATTTCTATTGAGTTATCTGCATTAGGTTGATATGACAACAACTGAACGGTACAAACAGAGTTGTAGCTAAAAATGAGGTCATATCATAGGAGGCAGAAAGTTGAAAAATAATCCCTATGGTTACACTATGCATGCAAATACCTAAATGATCAGCCAAAACATGATGGATTTCTGAGGCTCTTTCAGCTTTTTCTCTGGTAAAGGTAATCTTATTGGATATCAAACGTAGTTAACTGATCAATTAGTCAATCAGCACAAAATGTATTTGCAAAAAACTTCTTTGTGGAGGAGAAGAAAAGAAAAAAAATGCCAACATTTCATGAGTTCCAGCTTCTGAAAGACGAAAAAACGAAAAGATATGAAGAATCTTTCTTTCTTTCTTTGTTTTCTGTGAATTAATTTCTTTAATTGTATTTTTCGCTGAAAGGATTAATTAAGAGGTAACCTTAAACAATCTGAATAGGGCTCTAGCTGACTTTAGGCACCCATATTCCCAAATTGATTCCCACCTCACTATACCTTAATTTAAGTATTTTGGTCTAAACAAATGGGCAAATCAACTGAAGGGCATTTAATCCCAACAAACTGGTACAGAATATAAATACACTACAAAGGATTCACTGAAAATGTGTAAACTGAAGCCCTAACTCAACTTAGGTCACACAATAAATGAAACATTTTCAGTCAAAGGGTTCGGGTAAAGCATGAAAAGGTTGATAGTTGTTGAATGAAAAGTATCTACTCTTTGGGAGATGATGATTATGGTGATATAACTTCCATAAGGTTAGAAATAAGAACCAGCACCGGTCGGGTTCCCACTGACTAACCCAATGCCACAGAACCAAAACTACAGACTTCTTTGGTCTCAATGAACAAGACTGTCGTGCCTAACAGGGCTGCTGTATCTGCAGAAAGCAGTGGCATTTACAGGGTAGCCAGAACATATTTGCATGGCATCAGATAAACCCTTTTGATTGTTTCTGCTGCCCTCAGGACTCACTGGTGTTCAGCAACAACTGGGCCAATGACTCTGTAATTATAACAATGCACGTTTTGCTGTGCCGTTCATTACACTCAAATGTTTCCACTGCGATGTGAAAGCTATACGATCAAAACTCCCTTCTCCTCAAGTGGAGAGACACCCAGTGGATTTTCCTTGATGTAAACAATCATCTGACTACATTTCCTGGCGTTTAAACACAGTACAAACAGCCTGAGGCATTTTCAAATACAGCTCAATGCAAATCAGCATCAGAGAATGATGAAAGGGGACAGTGTATGAGAGCCTTATTCTCAAAACTTGACATAAATATGTCAAAATAGTATTCAGAACCCAGAAGTTCTTATGGGAGAAGGGATATAAATAAGCCAGATAAGAACTGAATGACAGAGGGAGAAATTCCCTGATAGCATTTTAGTGGTGCCGACCATCAAGTTGCCCTATCAGTGGTGCTGCAAGACTATCAGAGAGAGTGCTCTGATCATATGTGTGAGCCTGCCTAGGCCAGAAATAACCTGAGCTCAGCATTGCAACCTCCTGCAGACAAAGACTAATAAAAAAACTCAATCCTGTTGCCACTGTTGCTTTCTTCTTCTCTCCCTCTGCAGCATTTCCATGTGGTTCTTTGTGACACGGCTGTGATATAGGGGGGTATTACACCTGCAGCACTCATATAAACAAAAAATGCCCAGTTTTCTTCCAGTGCAAAACCGAGTAATATAGTAATAATTCTAAAAAACCCTTAGAGCATGTAAGTTAAGTGCCATTATTGTGTTTGACTGAAGCTGGCCAGTGGTAGCTCAAGTCAACATGTTTATAGAGAAGGTGTAATGCAGGTTAAAAACCCTAGACTATAAACAGAGTAATCCTTGTCCTTTCCAAATGGCAGCACTTGGGATGCCCTCAAGCAAAGCACTTGACCTCCAGGTGTTCTTGTGGATGTGCTTAGAGGCCGGTGGGACACTGCGGTCGTTGAGGGAAACATCCAGTAAGTGTGATGATTAAAATATGGTGGCCAGAGCTTAAAAAAAAATAGCCATGCTCAGCAAAACATTTTCCTGGATAAAAAATGTACCCAATGTTTATACGGGCAGCATGTTTTTCCTAAATACAAGCGTGCCTGTCTACAGTCCAAAAGCTGTTGGCTGCAGATTTTCACTTCTTTCTAGTTAATTAGAGAGACCTTTTCTAAATCAAAGTCCACTGCATGGAGTCCCAAAGGCAGGAAAAGCCTGCCGTCAGCCAGTGTGAGTGATTTGGTCTAGACTTGAGCTTAATAGGACCGCAGCCTGCTCAACTGAGGCCTTTGCAAACTGTCTATATGAACATACTGGCGCAAGCAAGAGTAAACCCCACAATCAATAAAACACTGTTTACAGTGTGGAAGTGTATTGGCTTCCACCGCAGCCCAATGACCTGCTACATGGAAACGATATTGACACAGATGAGTCAGCCTCTTTGATACCGCATGAAATGTGTCTGTGGAAGAATATGTGTTGTTGAGGTAATACTAGGTGGTTGTTATCTCTGAAGTGCTTTTACAGTACATGACTGACTCACTCGTGTGACCACAGAGCATCTTCTCACTCAACCCACACAGGCTTCCTCGACTTTTTATGAAAACACACATTCATAAAAATGCGACACACACCCACACACACACACACTTACTTCTCCCCAAGGCTCTTGAGTGAGTTGATCAATGTGTTTCTGATGGGCCACTCGTGACCTGTAAACTCTGCAGCTGATAATTGATTCCTCCCTCTTGGACAGAATGATTGCCCAATGCATCTGTCGATCAGGCAGAAACCCCCGTTCGTCATCAGAAACACAAGACACGTTAGAACGCTTAGTGCTAAATGCAAGACATGAAAAAGAGCTGGAGATACACACGTCTTTAGGGAGCAGTAGCCAATTATAGACATTGCTTTCTGCCTTCAAATCCATTTTGGCTTGTTAATTTTGGAGATGGTAGACCAAACCTCAACTCAAACATACATCTGGCTGGACAGCAAAACAGCAGTTTGGATGGGGGACTCTGAGAAAACCAGATGTCAAGACAAACATTTTTCACCAGCCAACATATGGCCACTAACATGGTGCTTTCCAGAGCAGGGCTGAAGAAGCAGGAAAAAAAGTTTAAAGCCAAATAATAATAGCTTCTATTCTTACAGAAAACCGCCAACTGGACTTTCACAGGAACTGTTTCAGAGCTCGACCCTTGGAAATGAAAAAGCCAAATAATCTTGCGATCTCTGGTTTTTGTGAGCCTGAGATGATAAGATTTTGGGTTGGGATAATCATAGAGGAAAGACAAGGAAAAAATCACAGGCACAGACACATAGATCCATGCACATAGCAGCTGTAATCGACCATATTTCTGTCATTGCTCCAATCAAACCATCCATATATCCATTCATACAGCATATTCTGCACACACACACACCCCTTTCACCCGCCCTCCCTCCTTCCCATAAACCATGACATGATGCCCCCCCCCCCCCCCTTTTGCTGTGGCTCATGATCTGACCTCACATTCTCTGGGCACACATGGCTCCATGTTGCTTGCGTCCGTCGTGTTGTCTCACGCCCTCATTTTGCCCGTGCAAACAGCCCCTGCTATCAATCCTAACATCGGCTCACCAGCCAAAGCCTCCACGTCTCAATCCCTGGATAGACGGCGAGGTGGCCAGGAGCCCGTAACCATAGAAACCTCTGCCGCCTGCCTGCTCACTCGCTTACCTGCTCTTGTATGAGCTGAAACAGGGAGCTTCTATCCATATACTGGCCAGGGAGGTGAGAGGAGCCGCCGAGGACAAGGGCATAGGGAGGAGCGAGAGAGGAGTGTTGGGAAGGATGGGACAAGGTGGAGGGGGGGATTTGGTTGAGGTTTAGCAGCTGGTGCCTAAATTGTAGCGTCTGGCTCCTTGGTGAAATCTGCTGCGTCCCCCTTTTGGTGATGGAGAAAGCGTGGTGAGCTCTGTCCCTGGTTGTCCTTTTTGCTGGGGGGTGCTGTGGGGGTCCGCGGTGGTGCTGAGAGAGCAGACGGTGATTCAAACGGGCCGTGACTCTGCTGTGTGCCGGTGCAGTGTGGAGCAGGCAGTACAACCCAGCTTCAGCAGACGACAGGCAGGCGAGGCAGATCCAGCATTCACTCTCCTCCTCCTCTCGCTCTCCTCTATCCCATTGCACTGACTGCTACCTCTCTCTCTCTCTCTCTCTCTCCCCTCTCCTCCTCACACACACACACACACTGCGCCGCCTGCATACCAATGAGGCAGGGGAGGGAGGTGGCCTCTCTCTTCCAATTGTACACGGGAAAGGAGTGGCGATGGGCTGCGGCTCCTCAACCTCACTACGAGTAAGGAGTCTCAGGGAGGGAGCAGGGGATGGGCTCCACTGCGGCTCTGCGCTTACTACTGCCCCCCCCCCCACCACACACACACACACACACACACACACACACACACACACACACACACACACACACACACACACACACACACACACACACACACACCACACACACACACACACACACACACACACACACACACACACACACACACACACACACACACACACACACACACACACACGTCTGGTCTGTTACTGACACACGCCCACACACTGTAAACAAGACAAAAGCTACTAACACTCAGGCTTATGGTGAAACCCTAACCATGTGAACATTATTTTTAAGGCTGCAGAAGACAACAGGAGCCAAAATCAAACTAATAATGATATCCATAGCACCGATGCCTCTGAAGAAAAATCTCTGCAGCCCTTTACATGTCTGTGCTAATTATAAGCACAGACACATTAGCACATTGCATGCGCTGCTGCACAATCAAGCAAACTCCCACCCCCTAAACACATATGCACAAATTGAATTAGACTGTTTGGATGGCTCCAATGAGCTCCTACTCCGACAATTAAACAATCCTCCGTACAACACTTCATTATAAGTAATTCCAGAACAAAGGCTCTTTTTATGTTAATCTAATGCTTAATAATGAGGCTGGCATGCAGGGAGCAGAGCAATAAGGTCAGAACATACGAGTGATCAAAAGGAACTTGTTACTACTCGTGTCGGCGGCAGGCAGGGCTTGATTTCACTGAAGTCCCCTTTAAAAGGTGTTTTCTCTCCGCACAAATCCGCAGTGACCCCTCCTCTTCAGGACAATGCCAATGAGGGGAAGGAAGCAGCAAGGGAACGTAAATCTTAACTCGTAAAAAAAAAGTGACAGAGCCCTAAAGGCACTGGAGTTGAAGACGTCGTCAGATTTGGGAACCGGTGGTTACTTCAGTTTGCATTTTGGGGTTTCTCGTCTTTTGCACTGTTCCCTGTGAGGTTCACTAACAACAGTGTAATTCAGCTGGGTGACAAACAGTGCCTCTGCCTGTTTCAGTGCCATAATTGCACCAGATGTTTACACTTTCATTTTCCTACAGTCCAAAAGGCTTTTGAATCCTTTATTTAAAAATGTCTGGACCTTGTCATTACAGTTTGTATGGCTGAGGCTGAAGCTGCTGAATATATGAAGCCCCGGCTGTATGTGTCCTAATGGATTGGGTCTCGGCCACCTTGCACATGGCAGAGCTCCCAGACTTTCATTTTGTCACCTTCCGCCATGCCCGTCTGACAGTGTTGTTCAAACAAAACCTTAATAACAACCCTATAATAAAGTCAGGATTCCCTTCTCTGTGAGGAAGGACTGAAGTCACGGTCTTTGTTCAACTCAAAATCAGTTCGGATTAATTGTCTCCAATACTAGTTGTGAGTATGTATGAGATAAATCTAATTATAATGTCACTGCTGGAGAAATTGCAAACTGTAATAAGTGAGACGGATTGTAACAGCCAAAATGAAACTGTTGCCTTGGTAACCTCAGAGGACTATAATCAAACAATGATTGAGGAGTATCACAAACAAAAGAAAAATCCAGAGAAATGAAAGCAGAAAACCCTCTTAAGAATAAACACTCAGGCTCTGCTATATGTCAGAAAACTGAAGAAGGATATATGACAGTGTGTGTCACTGTGCTGTAGGAACAACATCGGCAGAACACAGGCTTGGCTTTGTTTTAAAGGGGGCCTATTAAGCTCCTTTTCAGGTTCATATTTGTATGTTGTGCCTCTACTGTGATATAATGACATGCTTTAATGTTCCAAAAGGTCTTTATTTTTCTCATACTTCCTGTGCTGCAGCACCTTTTTTCACCCTCTGTCTGAAACCAGAGCCCAGTCTGCTCTGATTGGTTGGCTGACTGAATCTGTTGTGATTTGCCAACTGCTTGAGATGTCCCCATAGCCTATCACGTACAATGTGCCCTAGCCAATAGAAAGTGTAACAATGATGTCACTATGTTGCAGAAGTAAACAAAGAAATCCAATGGAGGCGTTTCAGGCAGGGGGGGGGGGGGGGGGGGGGATTTTAGCCTTTGCAGATCCTTTACATGCACACAAATCTATGTTACACTTGTCAGGAAAGGGAAAACCGAAGAAAAATGAAATAGGGCCCGTTTAAAGAAAGCCAATCGGAAACAGACAAAAGGCCTTGATGGAGCTCAAATGGCACGAGACGCAGGTACACAACATTCCCAAATATACGAACATGATGCCAACAGGGCTCACAGCCGCAGCGCGCGTCACGCCAGCATCGACTATCATTGTTTCCATTAAACTGCCACCAAGTGACATTATCCAGATGACTGACAGAGCGAGATAAGCCTCCAGTGAAATACGCTCTTCTGCCGCCCGAAGCGTCCCCAGCTGAATGGTGTCCCTTGAGCCTGACTAAACCCTTCATGTTGAATTCCCCCCCCGGTGGATGGATGCAGACGGAAGGACGAACCCAGGCAGCTTGCTCCTCTTTAACAAGGCCTGAGAGCGGCAGACAAAACACCGGTCTAGCCTCAGTGTGAGAATAACAAGGTCTTTCAGGGAGGCAGGGAGGCATTAATTAGACCGCCAGTCTGCACTCTTCCTCACCAGCTTAATGACCTCGAGGTCCAGAAGGCAGGTGTTTATTTATGGGTGTCTGTGTGTGGATAGTTGTGTTTCTGTCAGGAAAACGGATGGTAAGGAGCTATAAATGCGTGCCTTAAAGCTTTGAATTCAGTGCGTCTTCATTATGCATACGCTCTGCCAGGGTTTTAGCACGAGGGCTGCCTGCACGCTCATTTATGCAGCAGTATGCTTATGCAAACTAGAGGAAACTGTTGATGAGGAGAATGAGCGCTTCCAACTTTATAATCTAAACGAAGGGTTGAAAAGTTCCACGATTGAATCACTAATTATCATGCATTTCTGTTGCGCCAAAACTTTTTAAAACATTTTTCCAGTCGTCTTTAAACTTAGGTGACATTCAGCCTTGTTGCTTACTCTACATATTTAGAACGAAGCTAGTGATTCAACGTGGTCTCACATGTATGTTTCACAAATAATCCTTAAATATATAATAGTAATGCAATGTAGCAAACTTATAGAAATTGATTGAAATCTAGATAGCCTAATGTACACTTTTGAGAATTACATTTAAACATTTTCAAATGCTTTTCTATCAAATGCAAATCAATTTGTAATATTTCTTCATAGAATAACAGATAAACTAATATTTTGAATATGTGGTCTATCATGTGATCATCCTTAATTGTTTTTGCTGACTAATGTCTTGTCAGCAAATGAGGACATTTGGGGCAAAACACGTAAATAAACCAATCAATCAAACAATATCTTACACATTTATTCATAGAAGTTTTAGTCTGGCCTTTTCCTAGCAAAGACAATATTCTCCGAACCTTGCTAGCTTATATTCAGCAAAAAACAACTCAATAGACAGAATTCCTAACTTTTTCCCCATATAAGTTCCACTACAGATGGCAATATCCAGGAGTCATGAGAGCCTAAATAAAGGGGTTGTTTATTATATAAGGGTTGAGGTTGGCCTAACGAAAACAGCCACACAGGATATTAGGATGCTTCTGACTAATCATGCAGGTGACTTGGAGAGCTGTGATAATGGAAATACTCCCGTAGTCGGACACTAAGAAGAAAACAACAATAAATAAATGTAATTTTACACACAGAGGAGAAGAGTGAAGAGCCTGAGAGCCCAACAGAGGGAATTAAATTAAAACCAAAGGACCTGATCACATCATTGTGAGGTCAAGGGATGATAACGCTCATAAAGAATGGCGCTCGTCTGTAAAATACAATTACCACTCAGCGTGTTGTCACTGTGCCGGATCACAGTGTTGCTCTCTTAGCTGACCTAATCTTTTATAAATTAAGAAGACAAGTTGTTCTGGGGGATTTCTGGAGCCTGCTAGCCTCGACTAATTATGTGAATTAAAATAGATGGTGCTTCACGCTCAAGCCGCTGAATGCCAGGAAGTAGTGATTGTGCAATAGAGGGAATCACCCGCATGATGAAAATCTGCAGAAAAATATGAATCAGGTCACTGAATGACACAGTTTTAGTTCAAACTGCTCCACTTAGAAGATCTCTTGGGCACATTAAGCGGAAGAAGCAAGGAAGGGGAAGCAGAGCGTTAGAGGAAGGAGGTTGAAAAGGCGAGAGAATTAAGAGGAAAAAGGGAGAGCCAAAGAAAATGAATTTGAAAAGAATGAGGATTTTTAGCATTAGCATTTCTGTAAAACTGCCATGATTCAAATTCATAAGGCTGCCACACTTTCAACTCCATCTCTGCAATTTTAACATCTCATAGTGAGGCATCTCTGCCTTCAAAAACATCAATTATTATTTTTGGCATTTTAGTGCCACAGTGCCATTTGTAGTTTTGTTGAACACAGGCTTTCTTTGCAGCTCCTTATGAAAGGTTTGGGATTCAAAGCTGTAATGTGGAGGGACCTCTGGTGTCTAAACGTGCAGCTGCATGCTAAAATGAGGACCGTCCTGTTTCAAAACAAACCTCAGTGTGTCCGAGTTGCACTGACAAAATTGGAATGAGTTAAACTAAACAACCAACTTTCATTAGGACACTTTAAGGACACCACATAATAAGAAAAACATAACTTAGTGTCTTTAAAGCCTACATTCACTGTTTCAACTTGTATTATTATCTCATATAACTGTTTGACTTAATTATATCTCTTCAGTTTGTGAAGCAGCAGTTATTACATTT